GTTGTTCTCAACCAACCAGATAGTCATTATAGACAATTGATCGCAACCAATTGGGTTATCATGCACAACAACATAGAAACCAAACAACATGCAACCCACATTAACACATAACGAGGGGGAATCATCGGGAAACACTTAACCCTACATAACTCATACGTAAAAAACTACATTAACCCACTCATGACACTTCTACGGGATCATACACCTTCCTCCTAGGCCAATGGGTTACCAATTCAACTAGCATGCAATACACAAGACTCTTTTATCCTAAGAATGGTACACGATACATCAAACTAGACTCACACACGATAAACAGGGTACAACGGGACACGGGGAAAGATCAAACGGGGAAAAACACCACGAACCACGTCGGGATTCCAGTGGGTAGGTGGCGGGTGGCCCGCCGGCGACGGGCACCATTCCAGCGAGTGGCCGGCGGGCAGTCCACCGCCCGCCGGCTGCCCGCTGGAACAGTAGAGGCGGGCAGCGGGTAGGTGGCGGGAGGTCAGTGCCCCACCTACCCCCCACTGATACTCAGGCAACTTTATGCTCCCGGGATCCCTTGTGGAACCCGAAACCATGTCTAAACACATTCAAACACATAATGACAACACCACGTATTCAATTAACGGGATTAAACCAAGAATCACACCAAAACACTCCCTGACACAATTCCTAAACATGCCAAGACTTAACACTGGATCATGCAAAATCTCACCCAACATACCAAGAATAATATAATACAAAATCCACGTTATTACCCTAGGGCTCTAGACATAATCAAAATACAAGATCATTCATATAACTTATCATAGCACCAAGAACATCAAGATTATCACATAAGCATCAAGATTAACACCTAAACATCAAGATCATCATATAAACACAATATAAACCCTAGGCAAAGCTCTATCAAGACTCAAGCACAGAATCATATATCAAAGGAGCCAATGAATAAGATATAGCGAGGAAAATAGGTTTTGTTGAGACATGGGTTACCTTTTAGCCTTAATTAATCCTCCCTTGGCTATTAAGGTTCTTCCCTAAGATTTCCATCCAATTGATCTTGAAATTAATATAGATGATGGATTCGTGTATGTTGAAACTGGAGTTGCGACACAATAAATTTATAACGCAGTTCGGGCAAACAACCCTAAACTGCGAGGCATTTCTCGAATTGAGAACTTGCCTAAATCCACTAAAAGCTTGATATTTAAAGTACACTTGGTTTAAGGAACGGGGATTACACAATATGATATCCTATCAAACTATTGTAACCTAAACACTTGTACTACTTTTCAAGGGAATTTTGGTATCTCTTCTCAATGACTCTCGTGCTCACAGTTAGGTGTTGAAAGCATGAGTTCTTGTGATTGAGAGTGACTTCTTTTATAGGATCAGATATCCTTAACTTGTGTATGAATAGGTTTGTTAATCCTAATCATAGTTGGATTATAATACCCAGTATGATTAGGACATGGTTTTTGCACCTAACATTTTGACAATTCACCTGAGGTCAACACTCTCCCCCTTTGTCAAACTTTTGCAAAATCCTAGATCCCTTAGACTTGGTTCTTGACTTGTTGTCTCCCCCTTAGTTTGATCCTAGTCTTGATGTGTCATTTTTCTTGTCATCTCCCTAGATCAGAGTTGAAGCTATAGTTGACTCTAGGGTGATCTAAACATCCATAAATATGGTTCATTCCAGAATGATCAAAACATCAAAGTAGAACCTTGAGAATGCTAAAAATGATCAAAAACTGTTTGCATTAAAACAGAACACCTGAAATCTTGAGAGTGTCAAGAACAGATCAAAAACATCCACAATTTCTCATGTAAACAGAACACCTAAAATCTTTAGAGAGTCAAGAGTGGATCAAAACAGATTTCATCAAAACAGAAACTGTGAACAGGTCAAAACAGGTTTCATCAAAGAACACCTGAAATCTTGAGAGTGTTAAGAACAGATCTAAAACATCCACAACTGTTTGCATCAAAACAGAACATCTGAAATCTTGAGAGTGTCAAGAACAGATCTAAAACATCCACAACTGTTTGCATCAAAACAGAACATCTGAAATCTTGAGAGTGTCAAGAACAGATCAAAACATCCACAATTTTTCTCCCCCTTTTTGCTAAACGTTTGAGAATGTTCAGGCTGATTTTTCACTACTTTCTTCTTCATTTTCATGGCCATTTTCTTCATTATCTTCTTGGTCTTCTTCTTCATTTTCTTCTTCATCTTCTTGGCCATGACTGCCACTGTCTCCTTCTTCAACTTCTTGATTATCTTCTTTATTACCTGCTTTTAGGGCTGTTAACCATTGTAGTATCTCTGCTTTTTCTTCTTTGATCCCCATGTGTTTTCGTAGTAATTATTTTTCTGAATCATCTAGTTCTTTTAACCTTTTTTTGAAGTATCTGACTAGTGTTTGTTGATCTGTTGGATCATCTGCTGGAACTGAGGCTTTGTGGTCGTTTTGGTGTGCTCCTCTCTTTAGTTTAATAGTTGTGTTCAAGGTTTTGACTTGAACTTTTGTTCCTTGCGATTTTAACCCTTGCTTGGCTAGAATGGAGTAGATGAGATTCGGAAAGATTAGTAGGGCTTTTGAGTCTCTGTTTTCTGCATAGTGTACAATCTGTGAGTGAATAATAGCTCCAAGGTTGATTTTGATCCCCTTCCCTATTTTGTAGAGTAGTTGTAACACCCCGTGTTACGACCCCTAAAACCATTTAACTAATTAATCAATAGCCCAAGAGAAAGAATAAATTATAATGATTAATTGGGGAAAAAGGCCCACCATAGTCCATGGGCCCTCATATATAAACCCAACCCCTAAACCCAATCCTTAGTTCCAAAAGGAATAGAATTAGCAAACCTATAATATTAGTTCCGAATTAGGACTCCTAAATATATAAATAGGGGACTTAAGAGGCACCTAGAACTCCCCACAAGATTAACGCCCCACCACCCCAAAAGAGCTCCAAGAATCCCCTTAGGAGAAATCAAGAAAGCAAGGAAGCTTAAAGAAAGATCCTTCATAGCCAAGGAATTAATTAAGGCTAAGAGGTAACCCATGTCTCAACAAAACCTATTTTCATAGTTATAATTCCCCCTTAGGGTTTCCCCATATTATTGTGTATTGGCGAGTTATGATGATTATTATTGGTAATTGATGTGATGATCCCATGGGGGATCTTGATAATCTTGATATTGGGAGATTCTTGATAATTATGGTGTTCTTGATAATTATATGGAGTTCTTGATGATTATGTGTTGTTCTTGATAATTATGTGACGCTCTTGATGTTTATGTGTTATTCTTACCGAATCTTGCAATTAGAAGACGAACCGTATTCTTGTTGATATAAAAGTGATTAGAACCCTAGGTTGTATCGTATGATCTTATTCTTGGATTATCGGGTGGGGAATTTGCATGTTTGGGTGTTGATTATATTTAGAAAAGCATGATAGGTTATGTGCCGTTCGTTTCTTGTATTTGATTCGTTAATTGTCTACGTGTTGTCGTTAATTGCGTTGTAAAGTGTCTAAGCATGGTTTCGGGTTCCACAACGGTTCCCGGGGCGAAAAGTGTGTGAAAAGAGTCAGTGGGGGGTAGGGGACCCGCCACCTACCCACGGCCGTGAAACACCGCCCGGCAGCGGGTAGCCGGCGGGCGGGCAGCTGCCCGCTGCCCGGAACAGTAATTCCGGCGGGCAGCCGGCGGGTGGCCCCCCACCCACCGGCTACTCGCTGGAAATTTCCCCAATTTGGGTTCCCGGCTTCCCCGTTTGATGTTCCCCCGATCCCCGTGGTGTCCCAACGGACTCCGTTCATCGTGCCTATGTCTAGTTTGATATTTCGGGTGCCGTTCATAGGTTTACAAGTCTATTATATTGCATGCTAGTTGAATTGGTATCCCGTTGACCTAGGTGGTAGAAGTATGAACCCCTTAGGACTATTCCTAGTATGTGATGGGTCACGCATAGGTTTTGTTATACGTTTTCTCCCCTTTCCAATGTGTAATGTGGGTTGCATGTGCTTGCTATGTGTTATGTGTGTGTGTTACCCCAATTCGGTTGCGATCGGATTGGTTATCCTGAGCTGCGGTTCAGAAGCTGGCTGCGGTCAGATTGATACTCTTGGGCTGCGGTCCACCGTTTGGTTGCGATCAAACGTTTCTATACGAGCTGCGGTTCGTCCTTTTTCCTGGCTGCGGTCAGATGACATTCTCTTGGGCTGCGGTCCACTGTTTGGTTGCGATCAAACACTATGATGAGCTGCGGTTCATCGGTCGGTTGCGATCGACCCCTCCGTGTTGCGATACGGGGCAGGGTGCTGCGGGGCCGTGTCAGAGCTATATGCGCTGACCCTCATGTATGGGCATGCGATTGGTCCTATGGCGCCAACAAAGTGTGTTATGTGTTGTGACATGGACGAGTCGTGATTACGAGTGTCTTGGGGGATGTGACTATGGGATTTATATTGGGGATTGTTCATGTTGGGTTATGATCATTGTTTATGTTTTGCCTTATCTGCCTTATCTGTTGTGAACTGCATATGCTCGTTATAACTGTTGCTTGTGTCTGGCCTTATCTGTCGAGTCATTCCCGGTTTTAAAGCTAGAGTTCGTAGGACATATCTTCATGCTCAAAATGGTTTTCGTATATCTATATATATCTCTATATGTATTGTATTTCAACGCGTTGGAGTGGGTTACCAGCATCTCTCGCTGAACAGATATATTTGGCTTTCAGGCACAGAGGACTAGAGCACTGGAGCGCGCTAGAACTGGAACGTAGAAGTAGATTAGTTTTCCTTTTCGGCCTGCGCGCCATATTATGCATTGTGTTTCAATGGATATTAGTTAGACAGCCTGTCCACTTGGGTTCTCTAGCCCAGGTGTGGCATAGCACCCCGAACACTTATGATATACCTTGGGATGTAATGAGATATTACCTTTATTATATAAGTTTAAAATGTCTTGAAAATCTGGGGTGTTACAGTAGTTCTGCTAGGCTCCATTTGACTGTAGATTCATGTCGTGATGGCATCCAATTGGCGAGAGCAATCTTCTGTAGTATAGCATACTTGCTAGTTAGGGATGCAGCTTTGATTTTGTTTTTATCAAAACTCACATTTCCGGCTGTGAGTTCACTGGCTACCTGCTCACTTTCTAGTTGAATATTTTGGTCCCCTGAAGGTGTTCCTAGGTATTCATTGATGATTTCAGGACTGAACACATAGAATTTTCCTCTTAGATAGATTTTTCCAAACATTGGATCAGTGGGATTTGTTGTAGCTTTGGTAAGGTTACTATAAAATTCCTTGATTGCTTGCTCCTCATAGGGATATATATTCATGACTGACCCTAGAAGTTGATTTTTGGTTAGGGCATCAGATATTTGTTCATGATTTTCTAGCTTTTCTAGTTCTAGAAGTTTCTGATTGATGATGCTTTTCTCCACAAGTTTATTCCACCCTTTGGCATTTTCCCTAGTCAAAAATTTTGGACTATAGGGCTTTGGCAGTTTTGACAGGTCAGCACAACTAATAATCTTTTGTTTCCCTTTCTCCTTGGCAGTTAGTTTCCTTCTTTTTCCTTCTGTGGGTTTTGTTACTAATTCTGTGTCATCAGGTATCCATTCATCTTCTTCCTCTGTGTTTTTTCCTTTCTGTTTCTTAGTGTTGTCTTTTCTTGGAGGAGGTATGTTGGGGGTTCCTCGGGGGGGTCTAGCCGAAATTGGAAAATCATTAGGCCTCTTTGCTCTAGGATCTGCCCCTTCGTAGGGGTCAGATCGTTTCTTTCTCCTCTGTTCTCGATCGGACAGAGGGTGTTGTGGAGGTGAGGGTTCAACATTGGGATTTTCTTCCTCTTCGTGAGTACAATGAACATTGTCTCTAGTGGGTGAAGAAATTGTGAAATCTCCATGTAAATCTATTGTAAGATTACCTGGACTAGGGTTTCGAATTTCTTGGATTTCTTCGAACGATACTTGTGAGATGGGGACCGGGTCCATGATGACGGTGGAGGCTTCTTCTTCTTCAATGCGTACCGGGTTGGATGGAACTCCGGTGCCGGCGAACTGTTGAGCTGTTCTTTTCCGGGGTATCTTCCCTTGCCTTTGGTTTCTTGTCCGCACCATTTTTGCTCTGTATGTGAGATGTGGAAGATGATCGTGGGTGATTAATCGATTGTGTGAGAAGAGTGATTTGGGGACTTTCTGAACATGGACCGGGTTGTGAATTAAGCTGTAAACAACTTGTGTTGGGCCTTTTTGTCTCCAATGGGCTTGGTAAACTGAGTTATGTTGGGGCCGGAATATGGTATGGACCTCCTTTTTTTTTTTAATATATATGAATATCAATATACAGAATGACTTGCCCATGTGTTTGATCACCATGTGCACAGTCCTATTTCGGCTCTTAGTTTAGCGTATCTATTTCCATCAAGTGCCTTTGTTAGTATATCTGCAAGTTGATTTTCTGTGTTGATATGTGTGAGATTGATAATTTTGTTTTCTACTAATTCTCTTATGAAATGATGTCTGATGTCGATGTGTTTTGTTCTTGAGTGTTGCACTGGATTTTTGGAGATGTCTATTGCACTTTTGTTATCACAGTGTATGGTCATAGTTGTTTGATGTATTCCATAATCTTCTAGCATTTGTTTCATCCAAAGTAACTGTGTACAGCAGCTCCCGGCTGCAATGTATTCTGCCTCGGCTGTTGACAATGATATAGAGCTTTGTTTTTTGCTTATCCAAGATACGAGATTTGTTCCTAGATAGAAACAACCTCCTGAGGTGCTTTTTCTGTCATCTAGGTTTCCTGCCCAATCGGCATCACAATAAGCTGATAGATGGTGATTGGTATCAAAAGAATACCATAATCCTAATTCGGTGGTTCCTTTAACGTATTTAATGACTCTTTTTACTGCTTTTAAATGTTGTTCAGTAGGATTTGCTTGATATCTTGCGCATATTCCTACTCCAAAGCTTAGATCTGGTCTACTAGCAGTTAGATAGAGTAGTCCTCCTATCATACTTCGATATAGGGTTTGCTCAAATTGTTTACCCTCTATGTCTTTTGTGATTCTTTCTGTTGTTGGAACTGGTGTTCTGACAACTTTACTTTCTTCTAGTCCGAACCTCTTAACTAGGTTTTTTGCATATTTGCTTTGTGATATGAAGATCCCACTGTCTTGTTGTTTGATTTGTAGACCTAGGAAGTAGGTTAGTTCTCCAACCATGCTCATCTCAAATTCTCCTTCCATGTTGGTAATGAATTGATTTTTGTGCTTCTCAAGTGTTGATCCAAATACTATGTCATCAACATAGATTTGGGCAATTACTATGTCTTGATCATAGTGTTTGACGAACAGAGTTTTGTCCACGCTACCTCTTCTGTATCCCTTTTTGATTAGAAACTCTGTGAGACGTTCGTACCATGCTCGTGGTGCTTGTTTTAGACCATACAGTGCCTTGTTGAGTTTATAAACACTTTGTGGAAAATGGGGGTCTTCAAACCCTTTTGGTTGGGCAACATAGACTTCTTCTTTTAGATATCAATTTAAGAATGCCGTTTTTACGTCCATTTGGTAGAGTTTTATCTTGAGAATGCAGGTTACTGCTATGAGAAGCCGGATTGATTCAATCCTGGCCACTGGAGCGAATGTTTCCTCAAAATCTGTCCCTTCAACTTGGGTGTATCCTTGTGCTACTAGTCGGGCTTTGTTTCGTATAACGTTCCCTTGTTCGTCTGTTTTATTTTTGTAGATCCATTTTGTCCCTATGATATTGGCATTCTCTGGTTTAGTGACTAACTGCCAAACGTTGTTTCTTTCAAACTGTTGTAATTCCTCGTGCATGGCTCCCACCCAAAATTCATCTTTTAAAGCTTCCGTAATGTTTTTGGGTTCAATTTTTGAGGTGTAGCAGTAGTCATAGTCTCCTTCTTCCATTTTTTGATAGTCTCGTTTCTTTCCTCGAGTTCTAATTCCTTCATTTAGTCCTCCTATAATGTTTTCTATTGGATGATTTTTCTGTACCCTGGTCTCATCAGTGGTGAGGATTTCTACCTTTTCTTCAGGATCTACAGCTTCTTCTTTTTCTAATGATTCTGATTTAGAATTCTGGTTATGCGATGTTGGAACTGTTGTTTCAACAACAGTTATCTCTTCATCATTTGTGGGGGAATCTTCTGTTGTGTCATTGACCACAACATTGATAGACTCCATGACAGTGTCTGTCCTAAGGTTATATACTCGATATGCCCTGCTGTTTGAGGAGTATCCTAAGAAGATCCCTTCATCTCCTTTGATATCAAACTTTCCCAATGGTTCTCTATCTTTTAGAATATAACATTTGCTTCCAAACACATGTGTGTGTTTTAAATTTGGTGTTCTTCCTTTCCAGATTTGATATGGTGTCATGTTAGTTTCTTTTCGAATGAATACTCGGTTTATCAAATAACATGCTGTGTTAACTGCTTCTGCCCAGAATTTTGATGGAAGTCTTTTGTGATTTAAGAGAACTCTTGCCATTTCTTGGATGGTTCGATTCTTTCTTTCAACTACCCCATTTTGTTGGGGTGTTTTTGGTGCGGAGAACTCATGATGAATTCCATTTTCTATGCAGTATTCCTTGAATTTTGAATTCTCGAATTCCCTTCCATGGTCACTTCTTAGGCGAATGATTTTTCCTATTCTTCCCTCCTTTTCATTCTGAATTTTGATAATGAGAGTCTTGAATGTTGTAAATGCTTCAGATTTTTCTTTGAGGAAGTTTACCCACGTGAATCGTGAGTAGTCATCAACTGTTACATAGACATACCTTTTTCCTCCTATGCTTTCTGTCTGAGTTGGTCCAAACAAGTCCATGTGAAGTAGTTCTAGTATTCTAGAAGTGTATATTCCTGAGGTCTTCTTATGGGCTGTTCGGGTTATTTTGTTTTCAAGGCATGCATCACATTTTTTGTTTTCATCTATGTCAAATGTTGGAACTCCTCGATAGACTCCCTTCTTTAAACCCTTTTTCATGTCATGAAAGTTTATGTGACCCATCCGTTGGTGCCATAGTTGTGTTTGATTGACGGTTGTCTGTAGGCAAGATAGATCACCGTCCCATGTGTAGCATTTATTTGTGGATTTTCTTCCGATCATAACACATTCATGATTATGATTGAGAACATTGCAGCTATCTTTTGTGAATTCCACTTTAAGCTCATCTTCACATAGTTGACTTATACTAATCAGGTTTGCTTTTAACCCTTGTACTAAGAAGACTTTTGACAGTTTTGGCAGTCCGTGTACATTCAGGATTCCATTTGCAATAATTTTTCCTTTTCCTCCATCTCCAAAGGTAACATATCATTCATCTTTATAGTGTACGTTCTCTAAATTTTCTGGATTCCCAGTCATATGCCTGGAACATCCACTGTCAAAATACCATATATCTTGCCCCTTGTTTGTTTTGGAAGTGTATGCGACATTTTGGTCTTTTCTTACCCAGACTTTCTTGCTATTATTTCTGTTGTGTGGTAGCCATACTCTGTTGTTTTGTCTGTAGTAACTGTCATTTTGCCTTTTGTAACAATATGCTTTGATGTGTCCTAGTTTGTGACAGTAGTAGCACCTTATTCTTCTTCGATGTCGGAAGTGCTGTTGCGACATTTCCTGTATTTCAGGTTGGTTATTCTCACTGGTGCCCGTACTTGGAGTCCCGGGTCTTTCGGTAAGCTCCTTAATTTCTTGTAGCAGTTTTGTTTCTCTATTCTTGAGGTCTAGTAGTTCGTTCTGGGTTTCTTTGTATTGTTTCTCTATTCGCTCTTTTTCATTCTTTAAATAGTGATTATCTTCCATGAGTTCCAAGTTTTTCTTGATGATTTGCTCCCATTTGGCATTTAGCTGAGTGTATGCCTCTAGTAACTCTTGCATGTCATCACTATTGTTGTCTTCATGGCTAGCAGTAAAGGCTACGAAGTTCGTGTTGTTATCATCTTCTTCACTATCTGAGTCATCACTCAGAGTTGTTATATATGTTTTATTTTTCCTTTTCAAGTATGTGGCGCATTCTGATTGGATGTGTCCAAAGCCTTTGCACTCATAGCACTGTATTCCTTCCGTAATTGTATTATCTCTTCTCTTTGGATTGGATGGTTTTTGATTCGTAGAATTTCCTTGGTTGTTTGGAAAATTTTTATTCCTGGACTTGTTAAACTTTTTGAGAACTCGGTTAAAATTCTTTGTCAATAGGGCGATTGACTGCTCCAAGGTTTCTGAATCAGTTTCTGAGTTCTCTTCTTGTCTGGATTGTAGGGCTATTCCTTTACCATTGTTTTTCTGGCTTTGTAACATCTCAAGTTCATAGGTTTGAAGATTTCCTATTAGGTCACTGAGTTTGTATGTGTTTAGATCTTTATTTTCTTGGATAGCGGTGACCTTCATTTGGAATCTCCCAGGTAGTGAACGTAGTACCTTTTTGACGATCCTATGTTCGGGTATAGGTTCGCCTAGGTTGAATGCATCTCCGGATATGCTTAAAACTCTGGCACTGAATTGGGTGATGTTTTCTTCCTCTTCCATTTTCAGGTTTTCAAACTCAGTTTGTATCATCTGAAGCTTAAATTGTCTTACAGTTGTGTTTCCTTCATGATGATCGCACAATATACCCCATGCAATTTTGGCTATGCGAGTTGATGCGATTAGCTTAAATGTGTCTTCGCTTACCGCTCCATATATTGCATTCATAGCTTTTGAGTTAAAGTCATATTCAGTTCTTTCTTCTTCACTCCAATCAACTCTAGGTTTTGTATTTCCTTTGTCATCGACTGGAGTTTTCCATTCGTTTTCTATTGCATTCCAGACGCCTTCTCCTTGTGCTAGAATGTATATCTGCATTCGGGCTTTCCAGTAGGAGAAGTTTGTGCCAAGTAAAGCCGGTGGTCTGAAAGACCTTCTCTTGGAAACTCCATATGGATCCTGCTAATAACTTGAGCAGACCTGCTCTAATACCAATTGAAATTAATATAGATGATGGATTCGTGTATGTTGAAACTGGAGTTGCGACACAATAAATTTATAACGCAGTTCGGGCAAACAACCCTAAACTGCGAGGCACTTCTCGAATTGAGAATTTGCCTAAAT